ATTTTGTGATAATCTAAATCCTGCAAATAAATATTCATTTACACAAGCTGAAATGTTTTAATTTATATTTTCACTATTATTGACTGTATTGTCTCTATAAGAAGCCTTGAAATGACATGTGTTGTGAATTGGCACTCTATAAATAAACTACATTGAACTAAATTGTTAATAGTATTATGAATTTCTAATATAGCATACTTTTTCTGTTTTAGTTTCTTTACCAAATTGTGTATACAATAAAAGCTGGGCCAGGTGTAAATAGACATGGCTTGTAAATCTTCTAATTTCTAAGAACAAACTGAGCACTGCAAAATATAGCTGTTGCATCACCTTGCCATAGTATAGTTGCACGGGTGCACACAGATTCAATTCTGTTACACAGTTAAGTTGGTTTGCATCTTTATTAACAATAACAATTTAAACATCTGGTGCTCCAGTGCAAAATTGTTATTCCTCTTATCCATCCTTTAAAAATGCCCATACATTTTTCCCATTTTGTTCATCTCACAATTGCAGCACTGAAAAGTTATTTCATAAACACCTGCTGAGTAGGTCCATCCTGTTCTCACTGTGTAGTATTTATGGGAGATATAGATATTTTAGCACACTCCCTGTTTTCTGGGTTAACAATACGTAACCAACACTTGATTTCATCAGAATGTTTGGCATGCATAATTACAGTCAACACCAAAATGCAAGCAAATACCTTTTTTTGCCACATCCTTATCCAGGAAAATGTTGGAGATTTGACTTGATGCAGTCAGTTGTTTTCTCCAGGAGAGAAACTTTTAACCAATCTAACTGTATGATCTAATTGAATAATCTCTGTAAAGTGCCTTAAGATGATGTGTTGTGATTTGTCGCTATATAGATCAGTTGAATTGAATGAATTAGATGTCCAGATCTAATAAAAAAATTAAATGAAATAAAAAAAGTAAATTAAAAATAAATAAATATAATAAAAAAAATAGAAAAAAAGTTGTCCAGATCTCCGGTCCAGACAGAGATCCGGACATCTGAGGTCTCAAACTTACTATGCTAAATACTGATGACAAAATGTACCAATTGTGATGGTATGGAGGAGCAAGAGTGAAGAAAAAAGAAAGAGGAAAAATGTAAGTTGCTGGATCACATTTAATGACAGAGCCCTCCATGCCTTAAGCATCACTGCTGAAGGAAATAAATTAATTAAACACTTGAGACTTGATGAAACTTGGCTTTACTGACAAATAACTGCAGACTGTCAAATATCAGACCGAGTATGCCACTTGGTTAACTAAAACAACTCAAAGATGCTCAAAAGATTCTAATAACCCATTAAATCATAAACTAACTCCTTGTCAAGAGCTACTTTGCTGACTCTAGCAGTTATGAAAGACAACGATTGATCAGACTTGTAAGCCTACCCCTGACCTGTTCTAAATACAATAAAAAAATGAAAGCTTTTTTAATAGACGTATCAAAGTCCAGCTTTAAATCTGAATAAAAGTCTGTGGCTAGATGTTAAACATGTTATTCAAGCTCCAAATCCCTTTAATGTGGAAAAATGAAAACAATACAGCAAAACTATGCAGAAAATTCTATAGCACAAAATACTTACTGCCAGTTCCTTCCTGTACATGGCTGTAGGTAGTTATTACCACTGAGGGTAGACAGCTAGACAGATCATTCCCAATTTTTAAGAATACTTCATGTCTATGATAAGGACTGTGATGAGATGATTCATAAAATTAAATGTTTTTTGCAAGTGAATTTCATTTAAAAAGTGGCATATATTTGCAGGTCCTGCACCTGCACCAGCATCTTCAACAGCACCTGCCCCTGCTCCAGCACCAGCATCTTCACCTGCTCCTGCACCAGCACCAGCCCCTGCACCTGTACCCTCCTCTGCCCCTGCACCAGCATCTTCACCAACCCCTGCACCTACACCTGCCTCCGCACCTGCCTCAGCTCCAACAGCCACCCTGGCAAACCCTGACCACCCTCCACCTGAAGGGTAAGGTCTAAACCAAACATTTGCACCAATGGCAATTACTGTTAAATGGTTAATTTTGAGAGAGACGCCCTAAATCTAAGAAGCAATGAAGCATAAAAGTTCAACACCCCATATCAAACTACTTTACTTAGACAGGACTGCACAACTGGTATCTAATTAATCAAAGATTAATCAGATATTATGCTAAGTTGTATGGAGAAATGCGGACAAAGCTGTGAGAGGTGAATGGAGTATTTGAGATCTGTATCCCTTGGTGCAACATGTGTATTAACAGAGCAATGACCTGAGAGTGGATTATAGGCTTTTCAGCTCTTTAGACATAAGAAGCTCATCAGAGTCGCATGTGGCTCAGCCATGAAAGACATGTAGGCAACAAGTTGCAGCAGCTCTTAATCTTCTCAACAATAAAGATAGGCTTCCAAAAAGATGCAATGTCAGAGATTTATTAATACATTATGAAAGAGTGACAGGAAGAGAGCTGGACCTCTGTGACTGAAATGTTGACTGAGTGGCTACAAGTTGAAAAGGGATCTGAGGACGCAAAGCCTGCAGGTGACCTAGACTGTTGCTGCATGAGCTGATAACTGTTCTAACCAAAATATGTGTAGATTTAATGATCTACCATGATGTTTCCTTGTCATTGTTTTTAAAGGATTGGTCTTTTACTGTGTTTTTGTTCCTACCAGTGCTCATTATTTCACACACTGCTGTGGAAAAGTGGTTGCACCCTTTTGGATTACTTTTCCAATGACACCAATTTTATGAATAATTACATCAGATAAATCTTGAGCTTATTTATGAGGAGAAAAAATTTACCCCTGCAACCAGAGGGTTGTTGGTTCCCTCATCTCCGGCTTCAAGTGTCTTTGTATCCTTGGGCAAGACCCTGCACCTCAATTGCCTACTGATGGTTGATGAGGGACTGGTGCCGCCAGTGAATGGCAGCCTTGCTTTTGTCAGTGAGCCCCAGGGCAGCTGCGGCTACAATGTAGCTTGCCACCATGAGTGTGTGACTGAATGTAGTGTAGGGCACTTTGGTCAAGTCCTCTGACTTAAAAAAAGCGCTATATACTGAAAGTACAGGACATTTACCATTTTACTATTATGCATGGAATAGTGGTGAACCTTTGCAGGCATGCCTGCAAAAATTACTTGAAAAACACATTAAAGGCTATTCCAAGAAGTCATGAAAGAAGCCTAATGAACATCTAAAACACTACAGGCCTCACATGTCTCAGCTAAGGTCAGTGTTCATGAAAGAGGCTGCACAAATAACAGTTGTTGACCAAGAAAAACACAACCATCCCTTTCACATATGGCAAAAACAAAGGATATTGGCTCTCTTACATTTTGTGGTGTAGTTACTCAGCATTTCAAACAAGTTTATCATGCTGACTGTCAAATAGAGTTGGGTTAGTAATCGGATTTTTGGAGGCTATGCTTCTTCAGGACCTGGAAGAATTGATGGAACCAATATTCTCAACAAAAGAAATCTAAAAGAGATTAGTATGTCCCACAGTTTGTAAAATTAAGCTTCTAACCTTAAGTCTTGAACTCAATTCAAGCAAGAGGACCTTAAACACACCATGTATGCCAATATTATCCCTTTAACAGGAAGTGTGTCAACTAAATGTGTTCAAAAATGAAGAATGTAGAAATTTGATGACGTTTCTTGTTGCCAAGCATAAAACAACAAGTACGCTGTTTAGGGGCCAAATACATTTTCTCATTTGACCAGGTCTGTTTGTGTTGATGAGAGAAAAAATCCTTTGGAAGCTGCTTTTTATTCTGGTTCTGATATTGTAGTTTGTCATTCAGATGGTCATATGGGATATTCTGTAATAGTATGCATACTTTTTTTTTTTTTTTTTTACAGAAAATGTTAAATGAGAAAGTTAAAAACCCAGGATTTGACAAAAATGATTAGTGAGATAAAGACTGTGGGTTTGCCTATCATTGGGGAAAACCCATGAAATGACATTGGTGGGCTTTGAATTTTTAACTGCAGAAATCTACCGCATACTTCAAAAGTAGAGTATGCAAAAAGTACCTTTTAGATAATGCCATTCCTCAGTAACTTTGAGGTGGAGGAAATATTTAAACTTCAACTCAGAAGAAATTCTTAAGGTGTATTACTGATTTTATCCACAAGAGGGCATTCTATGAACATCCATTGTCTGATGCTGAACAGTGAATGCCATGCATCTTCTTAGAGTGTATTAATCATTTTTTGTTTGTTTTGCGATATCAATGCCTCTTTATTTTACTTTTTTTAATTTTCTTGTAAAATCCTCCTATTTGTTTGCTGACCATTTCTCAATCTTCTCTCGTTTTTGTTAATGTTATGTCAGTGCCACTTTATTGCTGCACT